CAGTCATATCCCATTTCAAGGAAAAACAATTTTGCTTGTTTACAATCGCCGAAGAAAATCTGATAACCTTCGTATAATAAAACCACCTTATCAAATAAGTCATAAGCATCTTGAGAACATTGATAAATAGCGATCATTGGAGTGGCGTTCATGACATTTGCTGAGGTCCTCAAGGCTCTGATAAATTCTAAAGCAGTAGCAGAATCTAAACCTCTGGTCGAATTATCCCAACATTGCAATGACGCAAACGATAATGCGACTTCAGCTATGGAAACTCTCTTACGCTCGCCACCTGAAACACCCCTAATAAATTCATTGCCAACTTTTGTATTCTTTGTATGAGATAAACCATATGTAGCCATTACAACCTTAGTTAAATGTTCAGCATACTCTTCTCTTGAAACACCTTCTGGTCTATTTTGCGGTGTTCTCATTTTTGTCGCAAATTCTAACGTTTGACCGACGGTCAACTGAGGAAAATGAGATTCGGTCTCAGCACAGTACACCACGTCTCCTCTAAAATGTTTAATAATATCGTTCGGTGTTAAACCGTCATATGAAATTACAGACTTCTTATCAACGGTAAACCCGTAGGTATGAGCCGCAATTGTCTTTAAAAATGTTGAGCACCCAGCACCCGGTCTACCTAGGACCACCGTCACTTCTCCATGTTTAATTAACCCATCCATTGGCTTTAAAATATCGAATTTAGCAGCTTCATTATTTCTATCCATAAATTTTCTAATTGTCCTCGCAACAACTTTGTAAGCAGCATTCGCAAAATTGGACTGATAATCAGCATCTGTAGCAATACCATATGCCCTAAGGTCCCTATATGCTACCCCCAATGACGATGGCTTGTAATACGCAGGGTCAGAATTATACAATTTCTGGAGATTTTTGACCCAGAATTTTGAATCAAAATAAGCTGAATCAGGGTCCAATTTTGGGTTAATATCTTCTTCCTTCGACATAGGATTCACTCCTGGGACCTGTGACATGTTGCTCAATGTTCTTGCCAAAGACGATGCCTTATCTATTGACAGTCTACTCATCGTTCGGGCAAAACCTTGCACTTCAGATGAAACCCCCTCATCAAACCCCCGATAGTGTGGGACTTCGTTACCATCTGTCATACTATCAAATATTTCAACTTCTCAGCGAATGTTTGAATTTGCCCCTTAATTGTTTTTGTTATTTATTAATAAAAATTGTTTTTATCGAATGCGATCTAACTTATGAATGTCCAAAAGAATAACAATTGTAATGATTAATTATTAATATAAGCCAGCTTTCTGTTAGAAGCAAGACTATCAATCATAAATAAGTATCGAGTAGTTAGAAAAACGAGTATACTTATACGATAATAGAATAAGGTTAGACCAAATTCTAGTAAGTAAATATTTCATGAGGGGCTGCTTGGCAATATAATGTGCCTAATATGGAACTAAAGAACAATGTTCTATTTTGATGAGCGACTGCGTATTATATCTTGCATTAATCATGTAGCATCTTTTTAGTGTTGGTAAAATATATGTCACGTAGACTTCTGGTTTGTGTTGTCAAATAGACTTATAAAGTTAAAGTGAATTTTATTTGTAATTTTTAAACATATATAAGAAATAGTGAAGGATAGTAAGAAATTGTGAAGAGTAGTGAAATATTAGCTGGCTTATATGAGTTCTTAATTGCATTGAAAAGGTGAGAAAAGAAACATCAAGGTTTTTTATAGTTACATTATTTTTGTCTACTGCGCTTTGGTACTCTAGCAAGCCAGTAGAAAAATACTGTACCTATCATATTGATAACGATAAAACAAAAGAAGATTCCAATATCACGGCTTCTCTTGGTTTTATCAACACTGACGCTTTCTAAAAATACGTTTGTGGAAGCAATGGTACAATATTCGCAACTTCCTGTAGTATCGTTGCTGACCAAATAGCCACCTGCATTCTGTATGTATGCTTGCATGTATTCACCACAGGTTTGGCCACCTTCTGGTTTGAACTTAAGTAACTCTTTGTCTGAGCATGTAACATCAGAATCTTGAAGAGCAACGGATAAGATTGCTGATACCAAATACGAAAAAGGATTACATCTGTACATGAAAATCCAAAAGCCTGGCATTGCTTCTGGGGTTGCTAAAACACCACAGAATGTTAAACACATTGTGAATAGTAAAGACGCCAAATTCGCTGCATTATCGGCTATCTCCATAAACGAGATACATAACTGAGCCATTGTAGAACAATAAATAAAGAACAAAACAATAATAATCCACATTAAGGCACCTCTTTGGTTTACGGTATCAGTAGGTTCTGCATTCCCATAAAGACCAATAGGATAGTACCAACAGAAGAAAGCAAGGGTTCCTGTAAAAATCTGCCATGGAATCTCAGCCGTTATTTGAGCTGTAATAAAGGCTATCCACGAAAAAGTTCTTGATGGCCTTTCCCTAACTTCGTATAAATCCCTCTGATAAACATAGTTGGGTAAATATTGCTGAGTTAAAGTATTGAAAATAACGAAAAACATGAAGACAGAAAACATTTGATTTTGTAATCCTTGCATAGTTTTGTTTACTTTAAAGAAAGCGAATCCATTGAATAAAGACGAGAAAATTGACATTAACACTTTTGAATAAGTATATGAAGGCGTTCTCCAATATTGCTGGAGAACTCTCTGCGTAACAGCTAAATACTGTTCCCAGATAGGTACTGCAAATGTCTTCAAACTCTCAGGTGAATCATCCTTTGGCCTCTTCACCAATTCTTGTTCCATTACATTCAATTCCTCTCCTACTGCCTTATACTCAGTAGAATTCATCCAGACATCATAATAGTCTTGATTAGCATGACTTCCTGGTGCAGCACCGATAACTTCTAACATCCACTCTGCTGGATTTGCGTCTGGTGGACATTTTGGTGCTCCGTACTTTTCAAAGTAATCGATCAAGGTTTGACAGTTATCACCAAGATCTCCGAAATAGACTGTTTTACCACCCCTTTGCAAAAACAATAGTCTGTCAAATTCTTTCAACAAAATAGCAGATGGTTGGTGAATAGTACATAAAATAGCTTGCCCATGGTCCGCTAATTTACGAATTAACTTACAAATAGACCAAGCTGTTTGGGAATCTAAACCTGAAGTAGGTTCNTCAAGGAAAACCAACAATTTTGGTTTTGCAACCAATTCAACACCAATAGTTAATCTCTTTCTTTGTTCAACATTCAACCCTTCACCAGACACTCCCACGACAGCATCGGAATACTTTTCCATTTCTAACAAGCGAATAATATAATCAACATATGAATCTTTTTCGGATTTTGGTACCGATTTAGGTTGTCTTAAGTACGCAGAAAATTTTAATGCTTCACGTACAGTAGAAGTTTGAAGATGCAAATCCTGCTGTTGGACATANCCAATTGATCTTTGAAAAGAAGCATCTAATTCATGACCATTGACCATACGGACCCCAGACGTAATGACACCAGACGTTAATCTATCAGACAAAGCATTTAACAAAGTGGTCTTACCAGCACCAGAAGCACCCATCAAAGCAGTGACCTGTCCAGGCTTAACCCAGCCGTCAACGNTATTCAAAATCACTCTNTCTTCTGANTTTATTTTAACTTGNTANGTNAATTNACGCCANTGNAANATNTCTCCNGNNGAAGGTAATTTNNTNTCCATNTCNTTNTCGGNNANNTTNTCNTTATTAAANTCNGGGCNNACNTTTTCAATGTTACCNCTTTCAATATCNTTTCNCNNTCTTNTGTTTTTCTTNANGGCNNTTCTTTGGAANAATAATATTTCNCCTTTCTGCATNGCACCNTTNTTATNNTCACANATNATNATATGNACAANNAANAAGAAAANNACAAATNCNACAACNATNCCCCAGTTTCTCCATCTNTNNCTNNANTAATATNCNTANNNNTCNNTNATNTAANCNTCNCCNNTNACANNNTCNNNNCCAGNTNNNGCACCAACAACAGAACAAATTATAGAATCACCGGAAGTTGGATATCCTGGACCAGAAGGAACAANNTGTGCACAGTCAAANTCACGTCCNTGGAANTCGTTTNCAANCAAGGCTTCGAATGCATATCCTATCGGGTCAAGATAATTAATCCAACGACACCANCCAAGCATTTNNGGNGTTGGAATAACAAAACCAGTAAAGATTGTTAATGCAAGNAAAAGAANNGANGCNGGNGTCATAGCTTGAGATAACGATTTAGTAGNAGATCCAATAGTTCTGAACAAATGGGACATTGATAGCGTAGCCGTGAAGTTGACCAACAAATAGAAGAAAAAATTACCAGCATTACGGCGGAAATTAACCATAAAATAAAGCACCAAATTGAATGCAATAGAAATAAGTATCTTTGGTGGTATCTCTGTTATGATTGAAGCAAANGCNTCNGCNGAAGGATGATATAAAGCATATGTCTTATGCTTCTCAACAATTGGTCTAGCTTCGTATAATGCGAAAATCTCTAATAACGAGGAGAATGCATTAAACAACACAGCAAAAAACATAGCAACAGTTCTATAGTAAAAGGATGATGTAGTGTCATCTAGATTATAAAAAATTGACGAAATAATAAGACCCATTANNNTATTACCNAAGANACNNAATANGGTNANNGAGGGATCACCCTTGGTTCTCATAATATTTCTNCNCATNATATATTTNANTTGCATANCATANGAAACNGTATNNGGTGAAGCANGACGAAGGTGGTTGGACTGCNTTGTNTTATGTGCNTCTTTGAATTGCTGGAGACGTTCTTCATTATCTGTCTTGTTCAAATACTCGTCAATTTCTCCGACCAATGCTTTTCTTTCAGGTGAATTTTGCCAGTACGTATAGAACTCTTCTGGGGTCCTGGGCACCTTNTTTTCGTAGCCTGGTCTGACAACACGTTCGGATGGATTTGTCAAGGATGTTAAGAAATCAGCAGTTGTTTGTCTTTGAGGNCAGTCATATCCCATTTCAAGGAAAAACAATTTTGCTTGTTTACAATCGCCGAAGAAAATCTGATAACCTTCGTATAATAAAACCACCTTATCAAATAAATCATAAGCATCTTGAGAACATTGATAAATAGCGATCATTGGGGTGGCATTCATGACATTTGCTGAGGTCCTCAAGGCTCTGATAAATTCTAAAGCAGTAGCAGAATCTAAACCTCTGGTCGAATTATCCCAACATTGCAATGAAGCAAACGATAATGCGACTTCAGCTATGGAAACTCTCTTACGCTCACCACCTGAAACACCCCTAATGAAGTCATTACCAACTTTCGTATTTCTAGTATGAGATAAACCATATGTGGCCATAATTACTTTGGTCATATGGGCAGCATACTCCTCTCTTGAAACACCTTCTGGTCTATTTTGTGGAGTTCTCAATTTTGCAGCAAAATCTAACGTTTGACCGACGGTCAACTGAGGAAAATGAGATTCGGTCTCAGCACAGTACACCACGTCTCCTCTAAAATGTTTAATAATATCATTTGGTGTTAAACCATCATATGAAAGAACAGAGTTCTTATCAACGGAAAACCCATGGGTATTGGATGAGATTGTCTTCAAAAAAGTTGAACACCCAGCACCAGGTCTGCCTAGAACAACTGTAACTTCTCCGGGCCTAATTAACCCATCCATTGGCTTCAAAATATCAAATTTAGCGGCCTCATTGTGCCTATCCAAATAACTCTTAATAGCTTGAGTAACAGTCTTGTAAACTATATTGCCCACATTTGCCTGATAATCAGCATCCGTAGCAATACCATAAGCTCTAAGGTCTTTGTATGCAACCCCCAATGATGCGGGCTTGTAATACGCAGGATCGGAATTATGCATTTTCCGGAGATTTTTGACCCAGAATTTTGAATCAAAGCTATCTGAATCAGGGTCTAACCTAGGATCTAATTCTCCTTCATCTTTAGCCATCGGATTCAGCCCTGGAACCTGTGACATGTTGCTCAATGTTCTAGCCAAAGATGATGCCTTATCTATTGATGGTCTACTCATCGTGCGGGCCAAATTTTGCACCTCAGAAGAGACCTCTTGATCGAAGCCATGGTACTCGGGAATTTTGTTATCGTCCACCAGATCACCTACTGTTGATGATTTCTGGGAAACATCATCGTAATTGATGCTTGAATTCATCGACTGCTCTTGTTAAAATCGTGATATATGTACAAAGTAAGAGCTCTCAATTTGCAACAAGAATATCTGAATTGTTTTAGAACGTCGCAATCGAATAACGTATATCACTTGTGTAAATAGTACGACTATATATTAAAGGAAACTTATATGTTTAATCGGAGAAAGTTCGTCTTATTTATAATCTCATGTTATAGTTTCTTAATATGTGGGTATATATTGCTTACCGGTTCGGCCTGTAAAATGATATCGTATCCCGAATTTTGGATTATTCTAATCAGCCGCTTATTATAACACGTTATCTTGAGATGTTACTACATCCAAACACCCAAGAAAATTTATGGGTGTAATATATGCAAACGGAAAGGAATCTTTTCTCATCCGAAAGGCAACTTTTCTATCCGCAACCGTCAATGCATTTATGGGTGGGTGGTTACTTCTAATACAAGCCGGGGGCTGAAGTAATGTAAGGGTTATGTTTACATTGGGAATATTGCAGCCGTGAAAACTATTCTTTGACGGATTTGAATTGGTGATGCCTACTTGTTCTAGGTCCAAGTCGCACACCTATAACAATTTGCAGTTGTGAACCAGTATAAACGATTCTACATGACAAAGTGTTTGTTCTATACCTTGTAATTGCTTTTGCAAACCTTGATATGTTCAGGTATTCATGTTTTCAATCCTGCAAACTTAACTTTTCTACTTTCTAGTCGGCTTCGGATGTTAAATTTGACCCGTTAGCCGAAGCGATTTTGGTCTTACTGTTTATACTTCAAGAAATCGTGCATTTAGACTATATGATTACAAATTGGCGAAGTCAATAGTAACTCCATTCATTGTTTTAGGTAATCTACAAGCCACACCAATTGGATGAGCAATAACGGAGTCAATATCCCAAATACCCTTCTCGTAGTAAATATCCTTCTTCAAGAACTCAATAATTTCTTCTTTTGAATCGGCTATAATGTGGAATGCACTACCAGCAAACTTGGTCTTTTGAACGTCTTGGTAAATTGCCCCGACAGAGGTGACAATTCCTTTGTTGACTGTTTCTGGAATGTTTGCAACATGTGTTGGCCTGACTGCAGTTCTGTCAGTACCTGGTTTATCGTAGATTATAACGTTCCACTCGATTGACATTTTGAGGCTATTATAATGTGTAGACGTATAGCATTTTTGCTGGCATGACAAACATTATATACTGTCGACCTTCGGATCGGGTTCCCGCACGAACTATTTTTAATGTACAGTCAGTCGGATATATCTGCCTTATCAGTATTCGTAGCTCTTAGCTATGCTATCTTTGAATTCTCGTTAGCATTGGATGTATAAATAAATATACAGCATTACTATTGATTGGCTTCAACAGAGCCATTGACGAACCTGACCAAGAACCAAACACTTTTGAGAGAAACTGCATTATATATTGAAGCTCACTTGCCACCAACAGATCTATGACCTTTTAAGCCAGTTTGTCTCCTTTTAGCGAGTTTTCTGTGCCTAAAGCATTTGAAACCTCGCTGACATTGTCTGTTTCGTTATCGCAAACAGAAAAGTAAACTGCCGAATCCTTGTCAATTGACTTCCATGGAGGAAAAGTTAAGGTAACTGGACAACAATTGATGATGGTAGTGTGTTACGATCTGCCACTGACAAAAAAAAGCTGGGAAAATACCACAGCAAAACCGATACATCATATGTAGAGTCGGTGTGAATATGTCTAAATAGTTAGAAAGTGTTCCTTGGCAAAACAACTAGATCATGACGACAGATAGATATATTACGACTTTATTTCTATATTTTTATTAAAAATTAAACATCGTTTATTAAACTAGAGTCGAACTGTATTCGTTAAAGAACTAAGAACCAAATATACAGAATTAAAATGCGAATAATAATTGGTGATTTATAATTATTAAGTAAATTAAATTAAATATAATGTCAGACCATGTCTGGAGTAGTATCTTTGAAAGCCTAAAGCTAATGCTGAGTATTTTTTTAGTCTTCGTTATCATATTGACTCAAAGCGAGGACCATACCACTAAACCACATGCCCTTGTCCTTTAGGTTCAAATTACTGCACATTAAAATCATTCGTAAATATGCCTGTCCTCCATGCCCAATGATCAAAACCAGACACTAAGTCGATCCTCGAAATATCAACGTTGTACATTAAAAACTGTAGGATTTTGATGGAGGTAAGGATTGTACCGATGGATAATTCCACTTGTGGCTCGAAGGTGATAACGCATGCACGATTGAGAATTCACAGGGCCAATTGTATAGATTACGTCGTTCGCATTCAAACCACTATAGATGACAGATCTCGTAAAATTACTAGAAAAGATCTCAAAAGTTCCCCGACACTTTCTAAAATAACGAGCCTTTGTTCTGTATTATAATAAAGAAAATGGGCAGATTCAGTGATATGAAGGACAAGCTTAACGCGAAAGACGCGGTCCACATTAAAGTACTTGAAGCACAGTTGGAGAGAGGAAGAAAGAAGGAAGAAAAGTTCGAGAAGGATAAACAAGACTTTCTCGCACAACTGGCTAAGTATGCTCACCAAAGTGGACAGCCAGCTACAGTATTTGAAGAAGGCAAATGGTTTTTATTACATCCTGATGGACGGAAAGAGCCAATGGGTGGTGAAAGTTCCAGTTAATTTTCAACTTATCAATCAAATCTGAAAGAAGTCTATTTTATTTATCATATATTCGCTATCATAAAAGGGATTTTCCTCTTATCTATTATTCGGTAATATATTTAGACCGATATATTTTCTCTATTTTTTATGTCAAAGTACATTGTTACATTTCCCTTAACAGTAGATTATTGTAAATGCCATTGACTGATTGTCTCTAAAGAATACAATTTATTCACTTAATATATTCCTCTTTTAGGGGGGATATCTCACCGAGGCACATATTTACAGAACACATTTAATAGATTGGGTTGTTTCCTATTCCATCTACAGCTTTACTAGAAGTTAATAAAGAGATTAACGAACCCTAATTGATCGTCTAAATTCATCCTCCTGGCCGAAGCAACTAGATAGGGAAGGAATGGTCGCCCTCTAGGAGTTACTTGAATGAACTAATTACGTGAGTTAGTAATAATTTGAGATGTTTATCAACTCATCATTTCAGCCAATAAGTGCTGCCATCACATCTTTGGTACTATATACCTGTAGTAGTAAATTTACGATGTATTTACACCTATTTAAAATTACGTTATCAAAGTAATAACGGGACAGTTCGCAAATTTGGACCAAATTTCAGAGAAGTGTATTTCAAAAATCTTAGGTTGCAAATCTTTTATGAAGAATGCTTTATTACCAAAGACAATACTCACTATCCTCATACGTTTCGCCTCCTGTGACAATTATCCACGGCCCAACGTCAACATTGCAATTTTGCTACCTCCCCCTCCCACCCCCCTCCCCCGCCAAAAATAGTCGCAAAGTTTCTACGTTATTTCGCAGCTCAAAGTCCATAAATTTACAAGATATCAAACAAACACTTCTTTCAGTAAGCAGTGATACCGGACCCGATAATGAATATAAGTTACAAAGAGAGATAAGGCATAATAAACCAGAAATTACCACTTTTTAAAGTCGTATAATTATCTCCAGATTTGTCAGTATTTTTTTTTGCTAGTTCTGAAACGAATATTCAATCTGTCTCGAAGTATTTTCACCCACAAAATGCTAAAAAACTGTTGTAGACTATTGGTTTTAATACCTTTATCATCATTGGCGTTTTGCCAGCAATTCCTGATTGTTGCAGACTATAATGATGGTCGTGTAATACACAAATGCTACAAGTATAAATGAAGATACCTGAACCTAGTATGTTGCACATTGAAGTTGGTAGTCGGCATAAGCAGCTAACACTTATATACTGCGAAGCTATTAAGTATTTTCTGTGAAAATAACTGATGGTCAGAATAATTAGCTAAAATATTAGACGACAACCATTGCCCTAGTCAGTGGCTAGATCTAGTACGATCGATTCAGGTATAAACAAGAGAGGCCAGCTCGGATATAAGTAGATATAGAAAGAGACGGACATAAACTCCTTGATAATTGGTAAGATTTAAGCTTGTATGCCCATACCATGGGTGGTATATGTAAAGTATAACAAAGATATCAGTATGTGATAGAGAGGCTGCAATACCAATAATTTAGAAGTGAATACTGTTGCTAAATGCATTTTCTATTGGATAAGATTGTTCTCCCTCAGACTAGAATGCTGATCGATGGCTTAACTTAAACAGTGGCTCTGTAGAAGTAAACATAGCACACTCAGAGTTGGCAATTGCATCAAGAACTCCTTAGGTGATCTCAACTGCAAACGGCATCTCCCTACATGTGTAATAATAACTTTCTGATTTATTAAATGTATGAAATAGAAGAATAGAAATGTAGAATTTCAATGTTGTAAATCTAATATAAGTGTGGTGACATTGTGTCCACATACTCCTAATAAACAAATGCTGCTACCCCGACAACGACGTCCGATAGCACACCACAGGCTAGTGAATGATTGGTTTTAAATGCTTTCAATTGATTATTGGTCGGATTTAAGTGGAGCATACACTCTAATACGCTCCTTACGAGGACCTAAATTATCGGTTTTAATACCAGCACCAAACTGGTTGCCAAATGGCGAGTGTGTTGGAATAAGGTTGGTTGGAACTGCCCCTTCGCTAATACGTCTGTATTGTCTTTGACCTATTCCACCCCTGTCTTTAATATATGACTTCATGAATGATGATTTGTAACGTTTAAGATAGTTTTCATTTCTTAAGTTTTCACGTTCATCGACTTGGTTGTATAATGGTGTCTTGATGAGTGGTTCTTTTCTTTCGGATGAATTCTTGTAAACATATAATCCCCCAGCTAAAGCAGCGATACCGAAAATTTTGGTTACATTAACTTCAATATCTTTAGGTTTACCACCTTTAGGTTCTTCGGTCGAATAGCTTCTTCTCCATACGTTCTTTATATGACGCGTACTTCTGGCTGTTCTTGCAAACATCTTTACTTAATGTATCTAATTAAAAATCCTATCAAAAGACGGTTCTTATACAAACATTTATTCAATTTTTCATTAACCAATAACGACAGAGTCTTTAGAAATAAGTCGTGCGAAAAATCAAAATGTTTTTTGCGGTTTTGTGTCATGTTCGTGATTTCCAGTATACCCTTCCCTATACCGAAGACTCACAGTGAACATCCTATAGGAGATAGGACGGGCAGAAGTGGTTGCGACGCATTGTTAGAGGAAATTGCATCGAACGAAAAGGCAATTGAGTGATTCCTAGACTATGCATTCTCAATGGCTTGTAGAAGTGGTAGAGAACCCCTTTGAGGTACTTGGTCTGAGGTTTTTTCCACTAGAGTGTGCATCGTAACAAGGATGTAGGTCTTACGGGACGTAATATGCCTGTAGATAATGTAATATCGAGCGAATTGAGTGGTAAAAATGTAATATATACGGTGTCAGGCGCGTAGTTATGACATATTAGTCGCAGTTGCTTATCAAAACCCTACAGTTACAATACTTGTATAATATTAGTTACTATAAACTTCTCATACATAATACATCGTCTCATACAGTCGTTTCCGAGAGTATGATGATGTTAACGAGAAAAAAGCCCGTGGCCACATAACGTAAAATTGGTATTCGAGTGCCCGAATTCAGACAGTCCTTAATAATTGACACTAATTAAATAATCAGCCAATTTTTCAACAAGAAGGGTCGCTTCGCCTGCAACAATTCCAGCTGGGTAATGGGCTATCAAGATGGCTTGTTTAGTTCTGACTGCAACAACCCCCTCGGCATCAAGTCTACCATAAATAGATCTGTCATCAGATCTCAAAAGGATATACTTTTGTCCCTGGATGTGTAAACCGTGGGCTTGCAATTCTGACGGATCATCGTACCCCTTCGCAATTTCAGTGATTTCTTTAGGGTCCAATTGGAAATTCGATGATTGAGCCCACAATGAGTCCCCTGCTCTCGAATATAACGCTGCTTTATCAATTTTACCGGTGGAAATTAAGTTATCGGTGTATGCTTGCCACGACATCTTTATTCTGATTCAACTTGTATTTGTTTAAGTGCAATTCTGTAAAATTACTACTATTATTCAGAAAGAATGTTGTTTCATCCTTCTGGTGTTTTGTTGACCATATATAGTGACCGATCAAAGCGCGTGATGATGGTCACATGTAGGACACATATTTGTGGTTTATTCGATAATTTGCTACGTTAGCCGCTACTGTATCTGAACAACACAATGTGTATACGTATGTGTATACGGAAGGTAAACAGAAAGAGTTTAGAGTTTCGGTGAAAATATAATAATGTCTTTCTCATGGAGGCTTATAGTCAGTCTACAAACTTTGCAATTCGATTGCGGTAGCATAAAGTAACAACCGAACACGGTTTTACAAGAAGTCATTCGGCGGATTGTGCTCCATGTTACAAACAATAATTTCATGATCACTGTTACAATGATAGTGAAATCTGCGTCTAAAACCAAGGGTATCTTTATATTTGGACAATCGATTGAAGGAAAAGTTGAGTCGTGCGTGTACCCGATGGTCGCTATGAGCCGCATCGATTTTTTTTGTAATTATGGTCTATTTAGATAGTAGATGGCGTAAAGAAAGGTAAGATTTAAGAACAAACGGAAAGAAATAATGGCCAAGGGAAGCAAGAAAGAAGGTTCCTCGCAATCGGACCGTCCGGTAATAAAAGACTCGAGATTTTCTTCTGTTCACAATGATCCAAGATTCAATTTGCCTAACTTGAAAAATGTCAAGGTGAAGGTTGATGATCGTTTTAGTAAGAAGGAGATGAGCAAATTGAATGAGGGTGCTATGGGAAAGAAGGTGAAAATTGATAGATACGGAAGAAAGTTAAAGGATCAAGATTCTGGAAAAGATTTTGATAAGTACTACAAGCACGAAGATGAAGAATCTAGTGACGATGAGGCTAGTGAGGACGAGCAGCAAGAAGAAAAGTACGCCAAGGAAGAAAGCGAAGATGACGATGAAGAAGACGAAGAGGAGGATGAAACGGAAAGCATTTTTGTTGATCGTGCTAGAGGTGAGGGTTTGGAATCGTCGTCAGAGGACTCATCCTCCGACCTGGAATCTGAATCTGACGTCGAATCCGAAGTTGAGTCTGAAATCGAACTTGAAGAAGGCAAGCCAGAGGAAGGTGAACCGTCTGACTCTTTTGCAGTTGTCAATATGGACTGGGATAATTTAAGAGCAGTGGACTTAATGGCAACTTTCTTGTCGTTTGTTCCCACTGGTGGCTCAATTAAATCCATCAGTATATATCCATCAGAATTTGGTAAGGAACAAATGCAAAAAGAAGAAGTAGAAGGTCCACCAAGAGACTTATTTAAGAGTAAACGTAGTAAAGTGGAATCTGATTCTGATGATTCTGATTCTGAAATTGACGTCAATAACAAAGACGACTTAGAAAAGGCTGCACGTAAATTATATCAAGAGGATGATGGAGAAGAAGATTACGATAGTAAGGCATTACGTCGATACCAATTGCAGAGGTTGAGATACTATTATGCTGTCGTTAGGTGTGATTCTATCTCGACTGCAAAGAAGATCTACGACAACTGTGATGGTACCGAATACGAGTCCACTGCCAACATATTCGATTTAAGATATATCCCTGAAGGAATGGAATTTGATGAAAGCGAGTCCAACGATGTATGTACAAAGATCCCATCTAATTATAAGCCAAATTCTACTTTCGTGACGGATGCATTGCAGCATTCCAAGGTCAAGTTGACATGGGACGAGACTCCAAAGGAAAGGTTGAACGTGTCGACAAGGCAATTTTCGCAGAAGGAAATCGACGAAATGGATTTCAAAGCTTACCTTGCCTCCGATAGTGATGAAAGTGAGAACGAAACTACCAATAACGACTTAAAGAATAAGTACCAAAGCTTATTAGGTAACAGATTTAACAAAACGGATGCAGATAACCAAGAAGAAGATGTAGACATGGAAATTACTTTCAACCCGGCATTAAACGAAGCCGAAGGTAAGGTACCCGAAGAAGAAGAGGAACAAGAAGAATCTACCATTGCTGCATATAAGCGTAAAGAAAAGGAACGTCGTAAGCGTAGAATGGAGAAGTTCAAGCAGACTCAAGAAGAAGAAACTGATGATCAAAAGGATACCGAGAAAACTGCTAAGGCAACCAAGGGCAAGAAATCAAAGGGCAAGGTTTCTCGTGACGATGATGACAAAACCAAGGCTCAATTAGAATTGGTCATGATGGACGAGGAAAATGGCGATAACGATGCCCACCACTTCAACATGAAGGATGTCATCAAGCTGGAGAAACAGAAGAACAGAAAGGGAAAGAAGAATAAGAAGAACATTGACAACGAAATGGTCCAAGACGACTTCAAGGCCGATTTGAACGATCCTCGTTTCAAGGAAATCTTCGAAAGTCACGACTACGCAATTGATCCTACAAGCAGTGAATTCAAGAAGACCAATACAATGACGAAGATCTTACAGGAACGTTCGAAGAGAAACTTTAATGAGCTAGCTGAACAAGGTACTAAGAAACAGAAGAAGCGTGCATCAAATGAACACAACTCCAACGATCTTAATAACTTGGTGAATAAATTGAAACGTAAGCATAACAAGAAGTAAACTAAATACTAAATACATAATATATAACTATATTTGCATCATTGAGCGACTCCCAACTCGCATATAATCGGATTCTCAAAGTTCACAACCTACTGTTTTACTGGACCATTAGTGATCTCAGTAAGTTTAGAATTTATAGCGAAGATTTTTGCATTGACACCAGTAACTCCAAACTCAGCTAATCTCTTTGAGTGCATATCTAAATATTTTTCTGCAGTTTCTTTAGTTTCAAAAACGTAGATTCCACCAGCTTCATTTCTTTCGGGACTTTCTGTCCAAATTTTCCACATGAACCCTTCCTCTTCATTGATACTCTTTGCTAAACCACTGAATTGCTCCGCCATTTCGTCTCCGAATGGCCCATTCATTGTAAAATCTACTTGTAACACGTATCCCATAGCTATTCTCCTTTGTTTAATCGATAGTATTTATATCATTATTAAGGGATCCCTTAGTATGCATTACGGAAATTTGGGGACGACCTTTGTGCGTTGATGTGGACACGCGTTAATTTTCGAATCAAATTTCAATGTATAAAACTTCATACTAGAAACTTATTAGAATTAGGTGTTGGTTAGTCCATAATGAAGTCTTTTATTGCTACGTTTGTAACTGCGTTATTGGTGTTAGTTCAATTCACCAATGGTTTACATTTCTATTTGAAAACTGGTGAAACTAGATGCTTTTATGAAGAATTAAGTCAGGATACATTAGTCGTTGGTAAAATAGATGCCACTGAATTGACCAACAACGGAGATTATGTTAAAAACCACAATTTGCAATTGCAGATTACTGTTGAAGTAAGTACTTGATTTATTTGGTGAAATTCATATGTTATGGTAAATGATGGGCATAAAACTTGGGGAAGTGCCGAGCTAGGTGAAAAACTAAGTGAAAAACTAGATGAAAATATAGCATGAATTACTAACAAGGTGTAGGAAACCTTTGATAATGACCACAAGGTTGTAGACCAAAAGTCTAATCCAAACGGTAAATTTACTTTCACATCTTTGGATTCTGGTGAGCATAAATTCTGCTTAACTCCAAAGTACTCGGATGGTTCTAGTAATAAGGCACACCGTATTTTCTTTGACGTTGCAACAGGTTCTTCCCATGACTACATTGACTCCAAGTCCACCCACAGGGTTGATGCCTTAACTTTGAAGGTCCAAAATTTAAACAAGAAGTTGGAAGAAATCCACTGGGAACAAGAACACATGAGGGAAAGAGAAGCTATATTCAGAGACCAATCCGAAACTACCAACTCGAGAGTTGTTAGATGGTCTATTATTCAATTGCTTGTCTTGATTGGAACCTGTGTCTACCAATTACGTCACTTGAAGGGTTTCTTCGTTAAACAAAAGATTGTCTAAGCGCTGTTAACGCGTTTTTTGAGATTGAACTTGATATTCAATCCTTCAGCAATCAGTGTAGATCTTACTTTGTATCAATGTCCTTACATATTTTATACATATTGTATTTATAATTGATAAAATTCTTTTATATCTTTCTTTGTAGGGTTGATGTTACCTTTCGCACAGAGAAAAAATTAGCTTGATAGTCATCTCTAGAATTAATTACTGTACATGACAGAAGTAAGCATGAATGACTTATCGAGGGAAGACTTATTGGAAAAGGTAAGGCTACTCGAACTTGAGAATGCAAAGCTTAAGGAAAGCAAATCGGCCGTGGCAACTGTTTCCGATCAATATGAATATGATGCAAAATATCCGAAGATAGATGAGTATTTTTCTTCTGATGAATATAAACGATATGGTAGACAAATGATAGTGCCACAGTTTGGATCTCTTATGTCACAAGTAAAACTTAAAAAGAGTAAAGTATTATTCATTGGTGCTGGAGGTTTAGGTTGTCCTGCCTTGCTTTATCTTTCAGCCTCAGGAGTTGGAGAAATCGGTATAATTGATGATGACTTGGTCGATATTAGTAATTTACATCGACAAGTCTTACATACTACGGAAAGTGTTGGAATTCATAAATGTGAATCTGCCAAAAGGTACATAAATAAACTAAACCCACATGTTAAGGTTACTACATATCCTTTTAGGCTCTCGAATGATAATGCTTTTGATATTATTGGAAAGTATGATCTTATTTTGGATTGCACAGATACCCCGGCGACTAGGTATTTGATAAATGATGTCTCTGTTATATGCGGGAAGACTATTGTTAGTGGATCTGGGTTGAAGACAGATGGACAATTATCAATACTAAACTTTCATGGAATTGGACCGTGCTATAGGTGTTTCTACCCCAAGCCTCCATCTCCTGGATCTGTTACGTCTTGCTCAGATGGTGGAGTCGTCGGTCCAGCTATTGGCTTAATAGGAATTACAATGGCCTTAGAAGCAATAAAAGTAATTACGGACTTCTATACAGTTGAGACTTTCAAACCTTTCTTGTCAATGTACTCAGGATATCCACAACAACAAATACGAGTGTTCAAAATGAGAAATAAACAAGCGAATTGTGCAGTATGTGGTAATAACCCAAGGGTATTGAAAAGTACAATTACCGAAAATGACATAGACTATGCTGAATTTTGTGGAAGAGTTAATCCAAATGTATTAGCTCCAGAATTAAGGATAAGTGTACAGGAATATCATAACTACATTAATAACACACAGGGCAAAAATTCGATACTTATAGATGTAAGACCCAAAGAGCAATATGAAATTACAAAATTGCCTCATTCCATCAACATCGCATGGGATCCCACATTCATCAAAGCTGACAGTATAGAATCGTATCTTCCTTCCAATTTCGATAAGAATACAAATACCTTTGTGATGTGTCGTTATGGCAATGATTCTCAAATGGCTACGAAGAAGCTTATAGAAAAGTTTGGTTTCAATAAAGTAAAGGATATTAAGGGTGGTATAAATAAATGGAGCGAAGAAATCGATTCGAAAATCCCACAGTATTAATTAATATATTTCTAAGTAGTACTTACTTATTATTATATTTAGGATCTAATCTTTCCAAAATTAATAACCCAGATACCGTAGCGGCCGTATAAATTGAACTACCATTCAAATTCTCATTCCATGCTAATGACGATATTATTACATCAGGTGGAGTTACACTGATTTTTGTTGATTTGTCAGTTTGCACAATTTCGTAATCACCCGACAACTCCAATGTTTTGTTATCGGAATTTAATTGTAATTTCCACAACTTTAGCGGTATCAATAGCTTATTTGTTGCCTTTGCACCGTTAAGAATCTTTCTCGATATATTAACGATATGAATTTCGCCAAACGTAGTCCCACTAATGTTGAGAGGATGGCCAGTTACTTCAGATGAGTGGAACGACGAAACGACTCCATCAAGTTTTAGTACCGAACTTGGCTTTTCTTGTGGATGTCTAACAAAATTATAACCTATGCTATCCCAAGCATCCGATAGAAGAAAAACTTTTAAACTGTGATTGTAAATTGGCTTTAATAAAGTATTCGTCGGATAAGATTCTATTCTCCCTTGTTGAAAGTTACCATACTCGAGGGCAAAGCTCTGACTACCTGACGTATTTATAAGAATAAAGTAGCTCAGTTCATCTGGGTTGGCAATTGAAATGGAGGTCAATGGTGTTTCTGAAATTGTTTGAACAAATGAGGGTTGGTTTATGTCATTTTCTTCTGTTATTTCGTCTATCTCGGACGTATAATAGGGTAAAATAAATTCAGCTATTGATCCCACGGACAGTCCAACGATTATCTTCTCGTGATTTAAAAAGTCAAAACAAGTTATACCCACCGTGTCTTCATCTTTATTGCCTCTTGGATCTTTTAATTCGTAATGAAGCGAAGACTTGATTAGCTTCGATAAATCTGGGGTATCCTTGGTATTCTGTTTAATTTTAAGTAGATGTAATTTACCATCAGTAAACGTACCGCATAATATACCTAGTATATCTGTACTTCCATCAATATATATTGGAGTCCAAGTCAAACGAGAGCAAACGCCTATCGAAGTCGTTATAAGAAATTTATACAATTCAAATTTGTTCTCTGTTAGATCGTATTGCCATATTTGTATCCCTGATTTAACATTATTAGATTCCTTGCCCGCTGAGTTATGAAAGACACTTAATTGAGGGTTATTTATGGTATCTTTCAAGCCATTAGCATTATTAATGACAGACACAGCCAAATATTGGTATCTCGCACCATTTTCATTAAACTTTTGTGGCAACCAACTCATCGAAGTTACATGTCCACCAGTATTCAATGCCAATCCATTTCTTTTCAACGGTTCGTTCAAGTCAATACTTTCACCGAATTGCAACTTTGTTTCTTTCTTCGTTTTGTCTCTCGCGATACTCAATTGTAATGAATCTTTATTGAGACCGAATTGTGAACTGATTTCGGCTTCACTAAGCTTTTTCAACTTCATATCACTCATTTTCAAGCTATTCGTATCAATTGTTGGAAATTGTTTAATCTTTAAGTCACCTGTTCTAAATTCGTCAATCATCGCATCTTCATCCACGTAGAATAACCTATCCTGCCATGCATCCTTGTATTTCAATGCATGGTCATAAAACTTCTCATCAAATCCATAGTTGTATCGAAATCTTGGCTTAAAAGAAATATCTCTCATCAGTTGTTTAGTAGAATTACCATTAGCAGTTGCAGCTCTTATTGGAGTAGCTTTCTCCATATTTGTCTTGGGCTGATTTTTTCTCGCTACGGTACCCTCCAAAGATGCATTGGCAGCAATCGCTTGGAATTCGGCACCTGATTCATCTCGATTCATCATCTATAATATATGCTGTTCAATCGGTGTTGATCAAAGAAGAGATCTCTAATGAATAGTGTTTGTTTTGATAAACAAAATCATAATCTGTAAATACGAGATAACCTGTAAACACTAATATATAAGTGCCATACTATTATCTGATAAGTTAATACTACTCTTCATTAGCAATGCAGTCGGATACTGCTGATTGTACGAGTGAATATTACACTTCAAATGAAATAATAGACGAGAATTCGTCGCCAATATATATCGAGGTAGTCAGTACAGATGAAAATGATATTAAAGAGGATCAAAATGATGCTTCTCGAAGATCATCGCAAGTAAAACAGGAAGTGAAGAAGGAAACAAAAAGAGAAATTAGCCCTGAAGAAGGGGCTAAGAAACGAAAGAACGATATCCTAGATGATTTCTTTGCACTAGGTGAACCAAGCATTAAGAAGAAGAAGAAATCAAAGAAATTGAAACATGCACATCGAAATGCCACAGATGAAGATAATACGATAAATTCCGCCTTGAATATTCAACCTGTTACTGATTCAGTTGACGAGGATGTATCGCTAGATGTAGAGGAGATCACGGTATCGAAGACGAAGACTCCAGATCGAAAAGAAAAGGCATTACGTAACAGAATGGGGTCGGTGACACCACCACCGGTATTTGATAAAGAGGCATTATTAGCCAAACGCATGAAACTGAAAAGACTGTCAGAAGCGAACAGCTTTGATATTGAAGATGATGATGATGATCTAGAGATTTTGCAGCAGTCATCATACCGCCGGTCGCATACGCCCAGTGGTTCACAATCTGGTAGTATAGGATATCAATTTACGGATGAAAATGAAAGTAAAAGAAACTATATATTAAAAGTAACTTCTAAATTGATAGATGGAAAAGACATTCATTCTACTTTTCGAACGAAAGGAACTAATAGGTTTTCTAAAACCCTAGATTCGATAATTTCATACTTCTTAAAGGTTCAGAAGGGTGTTGAATATACCAGCGATGACGTTTCCTTAATATGGATAGATGGGAGAATGGAAATCAAGCCCTTTTTTAAACCAAGCACATTGAGGATACAACCAATTACTCCAAATGGTACGAAGAAAAGTCCTAGGGCCTCTACGTACTTATACTGTTTGCTTATTCCTAAATCAAATTTAGAAACTTTTACCAGCACATACTCTGAGTTTGAAACAAGTGCTTCGTCACTTAAAAAAATTACAGACTTGACGGATGAAATAGAGCAAATAGATGAACAAGAACACGATGATACCAGTATGTATGATGCAAGTGACGTTGGTGAGAGTAAAAGCATATCTTCTAGGCCAATTGTTATTGATTTAGATGAGGAAGACAATGAGAGCTATTTTGTCATAGGGCTCAAAGGTAAGGATAATAAAAGAATTGAGGTTCAAGTATCGCCAGTAACACAGATTCGGAAATTGTTACTGTACTTTTTAAAAACAAAAGGCATACAAGAATCAGAAGTTAATATGAAAACTGTAAAACTAATATTTGATGATGAAGAGTTAAATTTGGATGATGTTGTAGGCGATACTGAGCTAGAAGAAGACTTTGAAGTTCAAATAGTTATTTAATTGTATATAATAATTGTATAATATGTTGATTTCGATATTGAAGAGCTGCAAGCGTATTGTAAAAACCGTAACTCCTTTGACTAATACTTGATACATTATCGAGGATCTACTTGACTAACTTCTTGTGTCAAGTTTTAGAAAACAAATGAAAGTGAGGAAGCTGGGTTCTTATAGTAACCTTAGTTAATATTTGCAACAATGAATAAAGCTGATATGTATCTACCATATGTAGAATTTCACATTTTACAAGAAAACGCGCAAATGGTTTAGTGGTAAAATCCAACGTTGCCATCGTTGGGCCCCCGGTTCGATTCCGGGTTTGCGCATCTTTTTTTATGAAAAGTTGCAAATTAACCTATCTACTAATCAGTAATGTCAAATTTACTACAGTATTAATCAATGCCAAACCATTCATAAACGTCTATAAAAGTACTACTATACATGCAAATGCTAAATCATAAGAAATTATCAACAAAATTATACTTAAATTTTTCCCATCCTTTTAATCCTTCTTCGTATAGATTTTGGGCCAATTCTTCTTCTGTCTCCAAATATCTGTCAGTCTCAAAATCCATTTCTTCGTATTTGACAAATCTATCCTTTCCTTTTTTATATAACCACCAGAATACAAATGTTAATGGGAAGACACCTACTTCAAGATAGGTCGAGAAAAACTCTGATACGTTCCACGGAGAAAATGTTGACCAACCTTGAACAAGAATAATAAATGTAACAAAGATAAGTACAAACCATGGGCCATACGGATAAGTCCAATTTGTATAGGTTAATTGATGAGTTTTACCTTGTCTCTCTAAACCTTTACGGAACCTAAGACTTGTAATAGCAATCGACCACCATGCAATTTGATTACTTACCCCAACTATAGACTGTAACCATGACCATAACGTACCAGCCCCAATAAATGAGGAACCAAAGCACAATCCTCCTGCAAACCAAGTAACAAGGACCCCGACGTACGGTATCTTAAAACGATTCACACGTGTGAAAACCTTAGGGATATATCCTTCAGTACCCAATGTATAAGCCAACCGAGACCCAGCGAATAAGGCATGATTACATGCTGAGATGACAGAGGTCAAAATAACTGCATTCATAAATGAACCCCCAGCCTTTGCTCCCACCAATTGAAAAACCAATGTGAATGGCGATGTTGTAATATCACTATTTGACAAATCGGGATAATCGTAAGGAATGTTCATGCCAATAAAGAAAACGGAAAACACGTAGAAAATCAAAATACGCCAAAATACTGTTTTGATTACTTTTGGCATCGATTTGACTGGATTCTTTTGTTCTCCAGCCGTAAGAGTAATCGACTCAGTGCCCCCATACGCAAATGCTGCCGTGACAAATGTTTTAGCAAATCCTCTAAATCCGTCAACAAATGGAGCGTCTCCATGAGACCAGTATTGAAACCCAATATACTTGTGCATCGTATTGTGGCCCGCGTTGGCCACAATGCTCATGATAAAGAAAATCAAAATCGATAATACCTTCAATAATGCTAGCCAATATTCACTCTCACCATAAAATCTAACGTGAAAGACGTTCAAAAATAAAACAAAAAACCAAAAGATCAACGATATGATCCAGAAATGGAAATCGGTCCAATATTCCATAACCAACTGCAATGCCGTTAGGTCACTCGCAACCGAAACCGCATCGTTAAACCAATAGTTTATCAATACCGCAAACCCGAAACTATCACTTCCGAATCTCTTCGCGTATGTTGCAAACGAACCAGAAATTGGCATGTACGTCGCCATCTCTCCCAATGACAACATGGTTAAATACACCACTCCCCCTATGAGCGAATAACAGATCAACAACGATAATGGCCCCCCATTCGCTAACGCCTTTCCTGTACCCAAGTAAAGACCTGTTCCAATAACTCCGGCAATAGCTATCATATTAATTTGTCTTGTGGATAAACTTCTGTTCAAGTCATCCGTCACCTGGTTATGATTATCTCCTACCGTTGGAGTTTTCGACATCTCCAAATCGTCACTAGCCCACTGATATTTAGTTGCAGAATTGCTGCTCACGCCATCGTGACTATTAACAGTTTGCATCTCAGACATTATTGCTGAACTACCTCTTCTTGACTATTATGTCCTCTATTTGAATTTAAGATTATTCTGCTTCTCACAGGTCTGTTTAAGTACAACTAAATTTTTTAAATCCCTCTTACTGCGTCTAATACAAGTTGGTTGCAATGCCGTTTACTTTATCAGCTGTGGTAAATGCATCAAATATTCATTAATAATCATCAGCTGTAAGATAGCTTGTATTGAAAATTTGTTGCAGTAATTGCATCTTCTCACGTGCCTCTTTTGATGTCAATATCTGTCAAGATGGTTTAGTATAATGACCATATACTATATATGGCCAATGTGAGCATTATGAAGATCTAATTAGCAAAAATGGATGCAAATTTGTGCCGATTAAACCCATGTAGCAAATTGTAACGATTAAGCATATTTAGTAGCTATTTAGGTGATCTTTTATCATTTTTATGGTTTTTTAAGAATCTCTTAGTAGTTTCGACTCCCCAACTGAACATAACACAAAAAAATACCGTTTGATACAAGTTGATCTATGCATCAAATTTAAGAGTTTTTAATTGCACAATGGCAGATACAAGAGCATTAAAGCAAGCGCAGGAGTTTGTTAACTTTGTTAATGATTCACCAACGCCATATCATGCGGTAGATACAGTAAAAATCGGTTTGCGTAATGCTGGATTCAAGGAGATCCAGGAAAGATCCAACTGGAAAGAAGCTCAATTGAGCAAAGGAGGAAAATATTTTGTTACCAGGAACGGATCTTCGTTGATTGGATTTACCATTGGAGACAGATTTGTCAATGGAAACGGGATTTCTATTGTCGGGGCGCATACCGATTCACCATGTCTTAGAATCAAGCCAATTTCCAAAAAAAATAGTGAAGGATTTATTCAGGTTGGGGTTGAGCAATACGGTGGACTCATTGCCCACTCGTGGTTTGACAGAGATTTGTCGATTGCGGGAAGAGTCTATGTTAATGACACTAAAACTGGTCAGTATGTTCCAAAATTGATCAAGATCGACAAACCTCTTTTAAGAATTCCTACACTCGCCATCCATTTGCACCGAGAAGTAAATACCAAATTCGAATTTAACAAGGAAACCAAGTTGGTACCAATTGCGGGACAAGTGGCATTGGACAAAAACGAAGCTGAAAGTACTAAGGACTCGAAGAGCTGTGCAGATGACCCAGATTTACAGTTATCACCAGAACAATTTGAATCGGTTCAGTCGGTAATCCAAAGACACAACAAATCTTTAATTGAGTTAATTGCAAAAGAATGCGATGTTGAACCCATCCAAATCGAAGATTTTGAATTAGTATTATTTGACCACCAGAAATCTACTCTTGGAGGGTTGAATGAAGAGTTTATTTTTTCCCCAAGATTAGACAACTTGACTTCGTGTTATTGTGCGATGGACGGATTGATCAGATCGGGCGAAAATTTGTCAGAGCAAAAAGGTATTCAATTAATCTCTCTATTTGACCATGAGGAAATCGGGTCGATGTCTGCCCAAGGAGCAGACTCTACTTTCTTGCCCGATATAATTCAAAGATTGACCAAGATTGACTTTAATAACCTGGTTGAAAAAGGTGTGTCAGTTGATTACTTCCATGAAACGATGTCAAAATCCTTCTTATTATCCTCTGACATGGCGCATGGTGTGCACCCAAATTATGGTGAATTCTACGAGGGTCAAAACCGACCTCAAATTAACTTAGGTCCTGTTATTAAAATTAATGCCAACCAAAGGTATGCAACTAATTCGCCTGGTATTGTCTTGTTAAAGAAGTGTGCAACATTAGCGCAAGTTCCCTTGCAATTATTTGTTGTCAGAAATGATTCTCCTTGCGGATCGACGATTGGTCCTATTCTTGCCGCTAAGTTGGGTATCAGGACCTTAGATTTGGGTAATCCTCAATTATCAATGCATTCGATTAGAGAAACGGGTGGAACATACGATGTTGTTAGATTATGCGATTTATTTGTCTCTTTCTTCGAAAATTATACTGATATTGACAGCAAGATATTATGCAATATATAGGTTATATCTATAAGTAATTAAATAAGTGGAAACACATTTTTCGAAGATTGCCCTATCACATTACCAGCGGGGTAGTAAGAACAAACAATATACGTTCCCCATGTTGGGCTACAATATTTGTACGCACATCCTACTTGACTCGTTGAATTCCATACTAATGCGGTGAAATGATTGTAGGTATTTTCCAGTCCATATATATATGTCTTACCTTCATTATACCATGCGTTGATAGACCCATCAACGGTGTAGCCAATAGCAAGATTTTCTCCATACTTACCTCCACTATGAGTTAGTATTCCTGAGCAATCATACTCGTCGGCATATTTTGCGGCAAACTCAAACACCGTTGAATTCCAATGTAATAATTGTGCTCCATGCAATTTTCTTTTGGCGTTATGTTGGTCTAATATTTCGGTAGCAAACGTTTCGTTGAATTTATATTGACCATTATAAGTTATTTCATTAGTTTTAGGTCTTCGTTGAACGTATACATATTCTATTTTTGCTATATATGTAGCATTTATTGCTAAAATTAAGAAATATAGCCCTATAATTATTTGCATTTTTTTCACTTATTTGTTACAAAACATTCAATTATGAAAACAAACCATACATCTAACTATTTATACAGAGAATAACCCTCTGGTCTTAGAATATCTATATCATTTTGCAGACGATTGCAACAATATTGAAACACTATACAGACAATGCACGTGATCCAGTAACTATAGATCAAGACAAATTTAAAACGTGTAATGAAGACTAACCCATACGTCGTATCTATAGGAATGTTTATCAGTATAAGACGATTCGTAGTGCTATTAGCCATTACTCAATTAGTTGCTTCATTTAGTGCTGTTCCAGTGTTAGTAGCATCTCATCGGTTGGCAAAAGGGTTGAAAGAGGAACTCAATGGTAGTGGCCCACAGACGCCAGAACTGGTTACCAATTTGATCAAACGATTAGTCACAGAATGCAGCTCCGATGAATATCTAGTTATAAATCAACCAGGATTAGTTTTGGATGATATGACCGTGAAAGAGGCAGATAATTGGCCTTTTTTGAGAAGATACATCGCCATGGCTTCGAGTGTAGTAGGAATACCCTGGGTCAGAGGCGCTTTGGATTTGGACTTTATTGAGCAGTATATAATCAGTACCTGCCATGCGGAAACTATGAATGTGGTTCATGACGATGATCAAGAAGTGGAGAACTATATAGACACAAGAACCAGAGTTATAAAGATTGATCTCAGTGAGCTCCCACCAAGAAGCGACTTGGAGTTGAGATATTCGGTGATACGAGAACACGATGAGCTCATTAGAAAGATTATAAGGAAATTACCATCTCCACATTATACTATCATTCTCACATCGGACATGCCCCAAAATGTGCACCCCATTCCAAATACGGTGGTCGAGTCCCAACCCGACAAATACCAGATTTTCCATGATTTGGTTAATGATCCAACTCGTGAATTAGAACTTGAAAGAAACGATAGGTTTGAGCAAACGATTGAGCCTTACTGGTCTCCGGACAGAAATACCATAAACAGATATATGGAAAATAAAAAGAAGGATGAAATCCATTTTTTTGACTACGACTTATGGACGCGGAATGAAAAATTGATATTAACGATAATAGTCATGGTGTTAACCTTATTCACCTTCCAATTAACCAAATTGGTGAAGGTATTGATCGAAACCGTTTTCAAGAAAGATAAAGGCTTAATTAGGCATACAAAGTCCGAATAGCTTTGTTCACCTACATATGCGATTCAGGTTTCATATCTGGAATGTTAGATTGTCATAGTTAGGATCTCCGATATATATATTTTGTATTTATAACAATATAAGCTTAGTTGATTGCAAAAAATGCATACTGCTTATTAATTACACAAAATACTCCCACCAAGAAATCGGGATTCAAAAAATGAGCTGATTGTTCTGATAATTGCTTTAAAATATATATAAGTATATTTATTGCGGACCGTTGAAGCGGAATAATAGGAAAACCGAGGAATAAATATAGCATGTCAGAATACTTGCAATTTAATTCTGTTCCTTCAGGAGATCATGAAGGGAAAAAACATATCATCATTGTAGGTGCTGGTATCATTGGTGTATGTACGGCTTATTATATTGTTAAGCATAAAAAGTTTGATCCTAGTAAATATCATATCACTATAATTGAAAGCAAGAGAGTCGCAGGTGGAGCTAGTGGTAAAGCAGGTGGATTATTGGCTTTGTGGGCATTTCCTCAACAGATCGTACCTTTATCTTTTGAATTGCATCAGGAGTTGAGTGATTTATATAATGGAAGTGAAGAATGGGGTTATAGAAGATTGACGACCGTATCGTTGGAAGGAGATATAACCAAAATACCAGAAGACGGTACAAATCAAGCAGATGAAGAAGATGGCGAACTGACTATTCCAAGAAAAAAGAGTGCTAATTCCACAAAGAATTCCTTTAGTTCGTCGAGTACGAGGTCAAGATCCAAATTACCAAAGGATTTGAATTGGATAAATGATAAAACAATCGATAGTTGTTCGATGTTGGGGGATACTGATACAACCGCACAAGTTCATCCATATAAATTCACATCTTTTATGTTGAAAAAAGCGGAAGAAGAGAGTAAGGGAAGCCTTGAGTTAATTCTTGGTAAGGTAAGCGAAATTACATATTCAATGGAGACTGGTGTTGCAACTGGAATTAAATATAAACCAACCAGTCTTAAATCAAGTGAAGATAAGATAGTGTCCTTACAAGGAGACCAAATTGTGCTATCTGTGGGCCCATGGACGTCGAAAATATTACCTGACTGTCCGATATCCGGCTTGAGAGCACATTCCATCACCATATCACCTTTTGAAGACCAACCTGTTTCACCATTTGCCATATTTACAGAACTTAAAACTGGCCCACGGTCCTACATATCACCCGAAATCTATGCTAGACAAGACGAAGTATATGTTTGTGGAGAAGGGGATTCTGCGGTCGATGTTCCTGAGACAACTGATGATGTCGAGGTGGTCAAATCTAAATGTGATGAGTTATTCAAGCAAGTGAGTAAAATTTCGCCAAATTTAAGCAGGGGTCATATTTTAAAAAGACAGGCTTGTTATTTGCCAGTGTTAGATGTTCCTTCATCAAGTGGCCCCTTAATCGGAGAAACAAATGTCGAAAGATTATATTTGGCATCAGGCCATTCATGTTGGGGTATCAATAATGCTCCGGGCACAGGAAAAATCATGAGTGAGCTTTTATTGGATGGAAAAGCAAAATCTGCTAACATATCTGGATTAAATCCTTCTCTTTATTTCGATGCAAGTGTATTCGTTAGTGATGATGAGAATAATGGTGATGATAATGAAAGCGATAATAAAACAGACGAAGAGGATGAAGAGGATGAAACAATCGATGACTAGGTCACCATACAAACGGCAACTGAAATAACACGAATACCTTGTAATTGTAAATTGTTTGAACAGCAATTCTAAGTAAATAAGATTTCTAGTTTCATGTATAGACTAATATTTAGAAAGCTGCGAAATATAATTGCACCCAAATAGCCGCTATAGTAGTTTTCTTTTTAAATATCATTAGTAACAACATGGAAATCCCAACGAATAAACAAATGAGCCATGATTTGGACGAGATAAAACAATCGAATCATTCGTTTGCAACATCGACGCCGGCGCATAAGCAGATTAAGTATGAATTAGGTGGTGTATCTGGAAATGATCTAGGTGAGAACGAATTATCTCCTGCAAAAGCTGTCAAGCGTAAGGATATGTTGAGTAAACTTTTGACTAACCCTAACGGGAGTTCAGATTGCAAGAACGACACATTTGACTCTACGTTAACTTTAGAAAAGCCACTTTCACCAATCAGAACAAAACAAGAAAAGCTCCATTTGTCACCGTTGAAGCATGAGATGCAACCAGAACTGGTGGAATTTGACACTGATAATGAGTTGGGTATTTTAGCTGCAACAAAATTCGAGACTAATCGTGCTCCACTAAGCTGTGGTGTTGAAGACGAAACATTCGATGAAGCACTCAAAACTTATGCGCTCCAGAACGAGCTTTCGCTAGGTATGAGCTTCCAAGAATGGGTTGCAAAGGGGCTAGAGAACGCTGACACTCAAAGGAAACTAATAGAAAGATTGGTGGTGAATAGACTCGTTTTGATGCAGAGGTTCCACTATCTTAATGACACCATCAACGACTACGCATTATCGTTGGAGACGGCTCGAGGCGACTTCGACGACAAGGTGAAAAGGATCCATGTCCTCACGAACGAGTTTCTCAACAATATTACTTAACTACTACATTGTCCCTAATAAACATAGTTATATATTGTACAGCACTGTGTAATATTTAAAACGAGTTCTTTTTTATTAATTGCACATAAAAAGATAATACACTAAATACATTATCTATCCATTTAGTTTCTCTTAGCGAAACGTCTTGGGCCTCTTTGAGCAGAGATAGCAACGGTTTGGATTGGGATTTTGAAACCTAAGGTCTTGACTAAATCAGCAGTTTCAGAGTCAACTTCTAATTGACCGTTGGTGTGGGACAAGTCTAAAGCAGAAACTTCTGGAACATATTGATCCTTTCTTTCTCTTTCTTCTTCTTGTAACTTGAAAGAAATACCTCTAACTGGACCCTTTTGAATACGCTTCATCAAGTGGGTGGTGTAACCGGCAATCTTATTTCTTAATCTCTTAGATTGGATAACGGCAATTTCAGAGGTTAATCTCTTGTTGGTTTCGAAATCTAAAGTTAATTTAGGGTAGAAACGTTCAATCACGACCTTAGAGGCTCTCTTAACAGTTTTAGTTCTAACACGACCCTATAACTTCTGTTAGTATATGTTTTTCACTTGTTGGGGATATATAACAGCTGTCTTCTTGCCACGAATTGAAATCCTGAGACGGAAACATGTAATGGACTCCAAATTTATGAAAGCTATCAAAATTTTCCACTACTGTGCACTTCTCACGTCGACTGACTTTTTTCCTCCCTTCGATATTTGTCTACTCTATCGATTGTCCTATATCATTCATTTCCTTCCTGTTCATTCATTCTCCACATCTCTATCACTATGAATTTCATTCTATGTCCTTTTCATACTATTAGGTTGCTGTTGTCCACTTATGCAAAATTTTATTTCCCGCTTATCATGTCTCCTCTAGTATTATATGCGTGTCATCGATATTCGTGTTATATATCCCTAGTTCCAATGTGTTCTTATATGTACATACCATCTTAGCTGACTAGTATTTGTAATTATAGATCAAAAAAGTATAATAACCGAAGAAAATGTATAGGATTTTTCTCTTTTACTCTGCTGCAGTGAGTGGAAAAGGTGGAAAATGTGAAAAATTTTGGACTTTGGGGGAATTTGTGTCATCTGATCTATACACAGGAAAATGGGTTCAAACGGTCACGAGATAATGTGACTGGCATTGGATTCTGAATCACGCGGAAAAAAGGGCTAAAACCCCAATAGTTTTCTCGGAGTTAATAATGTGTTACACAAAACCCCAATATATGACTCGCGGATAATCTGACAGTTAACTATGGCTATTATAGTAGTGAGCGTACGGTTAAGGTTGCATTATCATAGTGTTGCATACGGCATCATAGGTAAATTTAGTAGACGAAAGGGTCTATACAACGTATAAATTAGCGTTAATACATCTAGGAGCTTTTCAGGGAAAGAACGAGGATATATTGACTTATTATTGGCATTGTTAGCATTGGCGGTAATATAATATTGGTGGTATTGTTGATAGCACACGTTTGGTAAATTCTGATAACAGAAAAATATCAGTAAATTTGGATAGACGGTTAGTATTCAGTAGTAAGGTATTAGTCTGGAATACGAGCATTGACGAAAAGGCTGATTGAGGATAGATTGGTAGACAAACAGACGGTAGGCGTAGAAACAGAGTATCGAACGAGTACAGAAAGAATACAGAAGAGTACAGAACGAGTGCAGAACGAGTTCACGAAAGAATATAGGGACAGAAATGGAGACCAAAACAAGACTATATCATTGTGACGTGTGTTCGTCGGATTGTACCAACCGGATACGGATCCAATGTGCTATATGTGCGGACTATGACTTATGTGTTCCGTGTTTTGCATCAGGATCTGCTACGGGCGACCACAAGCCATGGCACGATTACCAGGTGATCGAACAGAATACGTATCCGATATTCGATAAGGAGTGGGGTGCGGACGAGGAGTTGCTTTTGGTACAGGGGTGCGAGACTTTTGGGTTGGGAAACTGGCAGGATATTGCCGATCATATTGGCAACAGGTCGAAGGATGAGGTCAAGGACCATTACTTTGATATCTATTTGAACTCGAAGGAATATCCGTTGCCCGAGATGGACAAAGATTTCAGTGATATCACGCCCGCCAAGTTCTTGGAACAGCGGAAGGAGAGGTTACAGTTTCGTAAAAACATGCCCTTACCACCGCCCAAATCGAAGTCAGTGGCATCCGTGCCCTTGTGTCATGAAATCCAAGGATTCATGCCCGGTAGACTTGAATTTGATGTCGAGGCCGAAAACGACGCAGAGGTGCCTGTCAAGGACATGGTATTCGATCCCGAAGATTCACTTGGAGATATCGAGGTGAAGTTGACTATTTTGGATATCTACAATTCACGGTTAACCACGAGAGCCGAAAGAAAGCGTGTTCTTCTCTTAAACAATTTATTGGAATACCGTAAAAACATCAGTATAGATAAACGGAAGTCGAAAGAGGAAAAAGATCTCTTGAAAAAAATCAATGCATTCATCAGGATCCTCACTCCCGAGGATTTTAATGACTTTAGTAGAGACATCCTCACTGAACTCAAGTGTCGTATTAGAATACTGCAGTTGCAACACTGGAGACGTAACGGAATCACTACTATTGAGGATGGTGGTAAGTTTGAAAAGGACAAGTTGATCAGAATGGCACATTACCAAAGAATGGGCAATGGTGCTGGATTAAATGGAAGAAATTCAGGGGCGATGGGCGGACACACTCCAATTCCTGCCAATGGGCGCAAAAACCACTCGTTGGCGAACTCCCCCCAACCAGAATTCAAGCCAAAAATTGGCAACACAAGGGCACCTTTGGATATTTCGCATGCTGCAGATTTCGAATTGCTTTCGAACGAAGAAAAGCAATTGTGTGCTACCTTGAGGATCCTACCAAAACCTTATCTTGCTATTAAGAATCAGTTGATGAAGGAAGCGGTCAAGAACAACGGTATTCTTAAGAAAAAGGATGCTAGACAATCGTTGAAAATAGATGTCAATAAGGCTTCTAAGATCTATGAATTTTTCGTACAGATGGGTTGGTGTTCTCAGGGGTAAAATAGATAGGATTGTATTATAGTTGTTGTATTATATTGAATAGAGTTTTTTCTAGAAACGGACGTGCATATTGTGTAGATGCGGAATTTTTCATTGATCATCAAAACCTATATACGCAACCTAAATAGTTGATTTCATTCTAACAATTATTGGATTGTATCTTTTATAAATAAGAATGAAGCTATTATATATACTCAGTGGACTAGCATTAGCACAAAATGTTGTTGGACAATTTTTTCCATTGGACAGAAAGGGGGAAATCCCGTTAGAAATTAAACCATATGAACAAGGCCAAGAAGTATTCATAGATTGTATTTCAAGAAACATTGAAAACGGTGAACATAACTTCGATGATAAAGAAAAAATCATATATGTACCATTTCCAAACTGTCAGGAAACTGGTAAGCCATTTTCCCTTAAATACGGAGTTAATGAGGATGTGAACTGTACGATTGGATTTACTGATGAATTATATCACTTGTTTCAATTGTACATACATGAAGATGCGCCATTTAGTTGTCGTATTCCATTGAGCAGTGAACAATATTATCTCGAAAAGGGTGGTGCCTATGTACCTTTGACATTTAACTTCAGAGGTGAAATTCACGATTCACACTTGGACGTCGACAGTTCCATGAATCTTATGGTAACCAAACCATCGAACAATATTCCTGAACAAAACACAGTCATAAGTGCCGTTGCCTGGTCAGCAAGCACTAATACTACGAGAGTGGTGATTGGAAACTATTTAACACTTAACTTTGCCGTCAGATGGTTAGATGGGTTGAAGAACTATGGATCACAAGCCGAACAATTTGCTAACAATGGTTTGCCATTCTCAGACGGTTTCTACAGATTCCCACTTAAGTTTATTGCCATGTCCTACTCATTGTTTTTAACTTACATGGGTCTTGCCTGCATCCTTACAAGTGCAATTGTATTAGCATTCAGTTATCGATTGTTGACTACTAAAATTTCTAAAAATATGTATAGAAGTTTAGATACAGAAGCTGGCTTTGCTAAACAAGATTGATATATATTGTTCTAAATAGTACGGCACTTTTTAATAATTGCACGCAATAATGCATCAACTCTTTCTGAAGGTTTGTCTGTAGTAGAATGGAGGAATCTATCCGTCAAGAATTGGATGTAGGTATTAATAAGCGTTTCCTTTTGTTTTGAACCATTAAGCTTCAATTTGTATGCAATAAATTTATTAACTGATAATTGTAATAATTCGGATAAGCTTTCGTCACTAGTGTCGATGTTTCTGACGGGTAAGGTAATATCAATAATCAATGTTCTCAAATCATTTGGATAGTTGGTCTGTACGTAATTTAAAACATGCGAATATAAGTAATCTCTATTCAAGTCACTGAATTTATCGAAAAGTATCAAAAATTGATTTATAATTTCAAATGCTTTATCATCCTTTTTAGAGGAAGCAGCATCTTTTGGAACGGCCTTTAATATTTCAGGAATGCATAAATCAAAAACTGTTAACGCTACATCCCCCTTCAATGCTGGATTAGTTTCGGGATTACCTAACATATTCATGTCAGCTTCAGGTAAATGAGTTAATTCTTCCTTCATTTCATCATCACCGATCGGCAAGTTAATAGTGTCGCTGTCAAGGTCATCAGTGGCATCGGAGGCAGAAATATTCTTGTCTAATTTTTTCTTCTCGTTGTCCATCTCATCCTTTTGTTGTTTTTCAGTAATTAAACCAAGTACCTTTCTTCTCGCCAATAATCTTGAAATGTACGTCAATTCAAATTGGGCATACGAGATCCACAAGTCAAACGAATCAGGATTTAATCTTAACCCTCTTTGGAACAAGACCCTAGCACCTTTCGCATTGGCATTGGTTTCAAATTCATACTTAGCTGCTGATAACCACGCATCAATGTTTCTAGGCTGTAATTGCAACAAACGTGAATATACCTTATAGATCAACTTAATAGCTCCATTTGCTTTTGCAAACTTCAAGTACTGCGACCATATGTTCATATCACCTGGGTATCTTTTAGTAGCTCTATCATAAATAAATAAAATTCTTCTTGATCCTGCCCAATCCGACAAACTAGGTTTGGTATCAATAAGTCCCACTTTGTTTAACCTATTATATCTCTTCTTTCTCAACTTCTCCACGTTGGTTTCAAACTCGGAATATTTCAAGAAATCCCTTGGCTTTGATCCTCTTCCCTGAATTCTATGTTCAAAATCAGTTCTTCTTCTCATGATCATGGTGATTTCATTTTTATCAAAGATCCCTTTCCTCTTTAAATCTTCCAATTCTGGAACTGACTGTTCCAAATAGTATCTAACTTTCTCAGCCATGTCTTAATTTACTTCACAAACCTATAACAGTCGTTTACTAGATTAATGTCTTCACTCTGATATTGAGATGAGCTGATTGAAAAATTATGAGTCGTGCGAAATGACTAAAACCACACTACAAAACCGATTAGATCAGTAAGATTGACGGTAGCATTCCGACCTAAAAGACCCCAAACCTATATTGAACGAATGTGAAGTATTATATACATCGGGTTGGTATGATGAAGCTATTCAATTAACATTGAGCCTTTATCAATTGCAAAAAGACACTCTTGGACATACACTTTGATCGTCTCTGCGGGACAACGAAATTCAAAAAGAAAAGGACAAATGCTCCAGGAGGGGTTTGAACCCACGACCGTCGCGTTCCTCACACGACCGTGACTTATGGTATAACCAAATCGTCGTAATACGGCTATAAGCACGAAGCGCTAACCTCTGCGCCACTGGAGCACCTGTTAAGGGTAATTTCAAATAAATATTGCTATACGCTATCAACCAACAATTCTATCTTAATGCTATTATGCTAATATATAGATGATTTTAGATAATTTAATCCTGGTTTATCGATAAAGAATTTTTTGGTGTGTGGTTAAACAATTGAATTGTTTCTGAGAATCATTTGTTTAGTATTTATTTGTTTTCTTTGGATTCGTACCACCCATTGGCAATTACATAGTACATCATTAAAAATATGAATAGCGAAATTTAGTATATAAAATTCATAAATAAAAGATATAATGCTTAATGGTTTGGGAGTTAATGACAGGCCAAAGATGATTCGGTGGGTTCCGCTAGTGACCCCCATATATGGTTTCCGATTGCAGCACCGATCACTACGGCTAACATGTACCACCCATTGTAGGTCATAAACACCAACATTAACATGAAAGAATAACCCACTTGAAAGCCATAGAACAACGACCGCTTCAATTTGTATTGTGTTATAACCAGAGAGTTAGAATTGGAAGTTGCACCCAATATAATATTGATATGGCGTTTCTCCCATTTGGTAAACCAAAACTTTGCTAATTCATAACCCATTCCTAGGAGAGCAATTGCTAAAAATGATAATATAAAGTCGGTCAATGACCTCACATGCCACCATTTGTATATAATACAAGTATTTTTCCAGTCCCAAGTAAAAATCATCTAGATAATTGTTAGTAAGTGGTTCTCCTGAGATCGCAAGTATGAACGTACATTCATGGAACACATGTCCATGTCTCCGTGATCCATTACAGGCATTGAGTGGTCCACTGCCAGCGAGGATATCATATCATCCATATGGTTTGAGTGATCCATATCTGATTGTTTATAGTCTATATTGTATAGAGTAGATAACAGTAGGAATTGAAAATGCGGGAATAGTTTTATAGTACAATTCTATGCAAAAAAGCCCAATGGTTCGATATGAAGATCATTAATAGAGAAGAGAGGGAAGCTCATGCCAAGTATATAGCAACAGAGGGAGCTAAAGGAATATTCTATGGGTCTATTCTCTCTGTCGGTCTTTTTAACTTTTTAAAAGTAAGACATCCAGCCAAATTCAAATCATTCAGCACAAGCATTAAAACTTGTATATTAATTTTGCCAACGATTGGGTGCTGTGCGTTCTGGGCCGATCAGGGATCAGTTGTGTTTGATAGGAGAATGCATTCATACGGTGGTGGGGACAAAATCCTAGAGGAGTTAAGAAAGTGGAAGGCAATGTCAACTTATGAAAAAGCTGTTACCATTGTAAAAGATAACAAGTACAAAATACTCATAGGCACATGGTTAGGGTCTATTTATGGGACATCGACATATGTTGAAAGCAATAAATTAATGGATGCTACAAAAAAGGCTGCTACGATTAAAAAAATTAATGTCGGTAGTACCGGGGTCCTTGTATTGGGACTAGCCTCCTGTCTTTTGAATGAAAGACTTTCCACTTTCTCCAGATCACGAAAACCTGAGGTGAAAAAATAATAGACTAGAATCAACTCCTGGTGATTTTTATCAGTCAAGCCATGTCAATGTTTATAATGTTGGCAAAATAAATATTCAAATAAAAACAACAAATTTCTTTCCTACAAGTTTAACTTGCACTTTAATGAATAGCTTATAGACACTGACAATTCTATTTATTTTGCCCACTTATATTTATCTAATCTACATATCTAAAATGGTACGCTTGATATTGTAAGAATTGTTTTCTTTTCAACTATGTTGTTTCTTCAATTTTTTTATATTTCTTTTCTTACTCCTTCTATGACAGATTTAAACTACTTTCCTAGCATGCTTCTCTATAATACAGTCCTTAGGTGGATCTGATTGCATTCATTCGTATGCCACTAGTATAGTATTTTTGCAATTATGTCACGTGAAATATCATCTGCCAATTCATCGGGTGAACTAAATTTTCTGTGAGTCTGATTCATAATGGTAGTAGAAGAGTGAAGTCTTCATAAGGTTTATTTGATTCTAGTGCTAGTATTGATAAGTTGCAATGGCTCCAAAGAATAAGAAGCAAAAGGAAATCGTTCAGGATGACCGTTTTCAAGCGATTGTTTTAACAGATTCGTTTGAAACCAGATTTATGCCATTGACGTCTATTCTTCCAAGATGCTTATTGCCTTTAGCTAACGTCCCATTGATTGAATATACATTAGAATTCTTAGCTAATGCTGGGGTTAATGAAGTGTACTTAATGTGCTCTTCGCATGCTGACCAAATCCAAGAATACATTGAAAAGTCCAAATGGTCGTCGAAAAACTCACCTTTCAAGATAAGTACCATAATGTCTTTAGAATCCAGATCAGTGGGAGATGCTATGAGAGATTTGGATAATAGAGGGTTGATTTCTGGTGATTTCTTGTTGGTTTCCGGAGATGTGGTGACTAATATCGATTTTGAAAAGGCCATGAATGCCCATAAGCAAAGAAAGCAAATGGATAAAGACCATATTGTAACAATGGTATTAACGCCTGCTAGTCCATTACATCGTACAAGATCACAAGTTGACCCTGCTACATTTATTTTGGATAAGAATACTGGAAGATGTGTATTTTACCAAGGAATTCCACCGGTTGATGGTAAGAGAAGCAGCATAAATATTGATCCCGAATTATTAGAGGATATCGAAGATGAAATGGTAATTAGAAATGATTTAATTGATTGCTGTGTTGATATCTGCTCGCCACATGTTCCACAAATCTTTCAAGAGAATTTTGATTACCAATATTTAAGAAGTGATTTTGTTAAAGGTGTCTTGACATCTGATTTATTGAAGAAAACTATTTATGCATATATAACTGATGGATCTGAATATGCAGCAAGAGTAGAAAGTTGGGCAACCTATGATGCTGTTTCACAGGATGTTTTGGCGAGATGGTGTTATCCGTTAGTTCCTGATTCAAACTTGTTGGAAAGTAATTCTTATAGTTATGAATTCAATCATATCTATAAAGAGGATAAAGTTATTTTGGCACAATCGTGTAAAATAGGCAGTTGTACATCCATTGGCGCTAATTCATCTGTGGGAGAAGGTACATCAATTAAGAAGTCCGTTGTTGGAAGAAACTGTCAAATTGGTAATAATGTAACTATCAACAACTCTTACATTTGGGATAATGCTATAATTAAAGATGACTCAGTTGTTGATCACAGTATCATTGCTGGGAATGCTGAAATTGGTAGCGGTGTTACTTTAAGTCCTGGAACAGTCATTGGTTATAATGTAGTTATTGGTGATGGCATTCATCTTTCAAATAACACAAGAATCGTGGAAAAGCCGATTGATAGAGATGATGATTCTTTTGAACTGAGTCCCTCATTTGATAGTGAAGAAGAAGACGGAAAGACTAATGGTGGTGAATATTCCAATGCTGATCAAACTGTAAATGACATAGACGTGGTTGGGGACGATGGTGTTGGCTTCTTATATGTGTCGGACAACGAATTGGATGAGGAATCTGATTCAGAATATGGCGTATCTCATAACTACTCTGGTATAATTTATCAGATGCAATCATTGAATGTGTCTGATGATTCTATTGCATCCGTTTCTAATGCCAAATCTAAGAAGTTTCATCGTCGTACATCATCTAGAAATAGAAGATTATCTTCAGCATCAATGGTCTCCACCGACTATGAAGGTGGTGCATTTTCCGAGGAAGAAGAAGAAGATTTTGAAAAAGAAGCCATTGCAACAGTTGACAGATCCATGGAGAACAATCACGATTTGGATACTGCGTTATTGGAATTGAATACTTTGAGAATGTCCATGAACGTCACTTACCATGATGTCAGATTAGCTACTTCTAAAGCATTAATTCACAAGATTGTCCATTTTATCACTACCGATACCTTGGACGTGAAGGAAGCCACCGAAAAGATCTTCAACAAATGGGGCTTGTTATTCAAGAGACAAGTGTTCGAAGAGTTCGAACAGGTCGACTTATTGCAAATCATACAAGAAGTATGTTCCAATGTAGATAAATCATACAACGAAAAAATTCTATTTATGGCACTTAACATATTATACAATCAAGATATAGTGGAAGAAGAAAATATCTATAAATGGTGGGATTCAGAATCGTCTACTGCCAATGATGATTTAATACAAGTTAGAACGTTAACAGGCAAATGGGTTGACTGGTTACGAGAAGCTGAGGAAGAAAGTGAGGAAGAAAGTGATTAATTGTTCATACGTATATAATTAATAGACAATGACATATCAGTAACAGTAGCACCAAAAAAAGTGTTAATAGTCGTATGTTTTCAGCTGCAATAGATGCAAAAAAGAGAATTTTCGCTTCTCCGGTATATAAGTTTATACGACGAAGATCAGCATGTGAGTGGTGCCATAATTATCAATTTTGAATACATAAATACGTTCGTTTTTCATCCAAATAAACGTGTTGGAGGCATATTAGGATATCTGGTGGAATTAATGACAAGTTCAGGCAATATTTATGACGTTATTGTGGTTGGAGCCGGTGTTGTTGGGCCTACTATAGCAACAGCACTTGCGAGACAAGGCAGACGAGTTTTGATCATCGAAAGAGATTGGTCTACACCTGATAGAATCGTAGGAGAGTTAATGCAGCCTGGAGGAATAAAAGCATTAAAGGAACTTGGAATGATTAAGGCTATTAATAATATCGAAGCTATTCATGTTAATGGGTATTACGTCAAATATGGTGATCAAGTGGTTAGGTTAGACTACCCAGATAAGCAGGATGCGATGAAAACGAACTCTGTTAAGTCAGTACCAGACTGTGTATTTGACGATAACGACAAGATGGCGAGCGATTATACCTTGAGTTCGAAAGACTGGGATGAAGACGAGCGTGTTCGGGGTGTAGCGTTTCACAATGGAGAATTTTTAATGAATTTAAGATCGATCGTTAAAAATGAACCTAACGTGACGTGGGTTGAAGGAACAGCCACCAAGATACTTCGAGATGAAGAAAATCCAAGCATAGTTACAGGGGTTGAGGTTAAGCAAAATCAGGCAAAGAAGACATATACAGCCAGGTTAACTATAAGTTGCGATGGGATATATTCGAAATTCAGAAAAGAACTTTCGGCCGAAAATTTACCTGTAGTCGGATCATATTTCGTTGGTTTGAAGCTTATTGATGCTAAATTGCCTATGGTCAACAGAGGACATGTCATCTTAGGATCGCATGCGCCGATTTTGATATACCAAATATCACCACACGAAACAAGAATATTATGTGCTTATAGGTCCACTAAGCCTCCTTCTCAGACGAACGACGAGTTATACAACTACCTTCATGACGAAGTATTGCCTGCATTACCGAAAGAAACTCAACCTTCGTTTGAAAAGGCGTTGGAGACTAGAAAATTCAGAGCGATGCCTAATCAATATTTACCTGCAGTAAAACAAGGAAAAGAGACTAAGGGCTTAATTATGTTAGGTGACTCCCTCAACATGAGACATCCTTTAACCGGCGGAGGTATGACTGTGGGCTTAAACGACAGTGTGTTGCTCGCGAAATTATTGCATCCAAGGTACATAGAAGACTTCGATAACCACGAACTTCTAGGCAAACAACTAACCACTTTCCATAGAAAGCGTAAGAATCTCGATGCCGTACTTAATACTTTATCTATAGCCTTGTACACCTTGTTTGCTGCCGACAAAAATGCTTTATTGATTTTACAAAAGGGCTGCTTTAAGTATTTCCTCCTCGGAGGTGACTGCGTTTCCGGTCCAATTGGCTTGTTATCAGGAATCCTACCATTCCCCATGTTGTTATTCAACCATTTCTTCAGTGTGGCCTTCTATGCAATTTACTGCAACTTTATAGACAGAGGCCTCACTGGATTCCCTCTAGCCTTGGTTGAGGCATTTGACACCATTTTCACTGCAATAATTGTTTTCACGCCTTACTTGTGGAAAGAATTAGTTTACTAGTTCCCTAGATTACTGACATAGATTATATATATCCCCGTCTAGATGCAATTACTGTAATCATCCCAATGATGAATGGCTGTATAACTTCTGTTTTAGCACGTGACCTGTCAAACCATTAGCAACTAATAAGAACGGAAGCATTGCAATAGTAAATAACTGAAAGACAATATAACTAATATTTCAGTCGATTACAATTAACAGATATAATTGATAATGCCGTCAATGGATGATCGAACTCCGTTAGTCGGGGAAAACAGACCTAGAACTTTAGCGCAAACCAAAGCCTCTGTGTTGCGTGTCTTCATGATGACTCTCAAGTCGTCTCCGGTCAATTACCTTTTGGTGTTTGTTCCGTTAGGGATATTAGCTGAATATTTGAAATGGTCAGCTAATGCTGTTTTCTGGTTGAATTTTCTTGCTATCGTTCCTTTGGCTTCGTTATTAGCATTTGCTACGGAGGAATTATCCGAAAATGTTGGACAGACGATTGGAGGGTTATTGAATGCTACGTTCGGCAATGCCGTGGAATTAATTGTGTCTA